GCTTATCATTTTTAGAGGCCTACAAAAGTACCCAAGAGGTTGTATGGTGCTTGGCACTATGGTGATAGAAGTCTGTGAAATAGTAAAACAAAACAAAAAAAAAGTTATTTAGGGGAAAAATGCATTCTTTCATTCCAGACTTTAATAGCAAATATGAGGTTTCTTTTAATGAGTCAGAGAAATGCTGTATGTCTTCCCTGTGACAAGTTCGTAATACGAAGATTTAGACAATATAATTTGTAGATGTCAAGCAAATGGGTTAAAAATTGACACCTAGGTAAGAGCAGAACTTCTGGAGCTGTGAAGGTGAAGGTACAGTAGAGTACGTTCACCTACACAACAGTAGACTTAAGTCAACAGAGAACTCAAACAACTTTGTTGTTTAATCAAATACTGCCTTCCAATATTAACAGAAGTAGATGGTTCAGAACAAAGATGGTAACTGCCACGGTTTCCCTAAAGTGATAAGATCACATTTAGATTATATTTTGTTGTAGATGCTCTATGTTAAGGATCAAGAGTGTTGACAATGTTAGCATAAAATTAGAAAAGCATGACTAGATTGGGGCCGAGTCTGGAACCATGTCATATGTGGAATGGTTAAAAGGACTGGATATATTTAATGGGATATGAAATACTTGGAGATGGTGTAGTGATTGTTTCATGTCATTGGAAAGATGCTCATATTTAAGAGAGATGATGCTTATTCTGTTTCATTTTAAGGAACAGAAATAGAATAGGTACAAAAAGATAACAGTTCACTTTTGCTGAACTCCAGTAGGAAATGGACTGTTAGCTACGTGCTTATGAGAAGAGATAATACACATTTCTCAAGTATAATTAATTGAAAGGAGAACAAGGGTCTTTCTCATTTATAAAGAAATTGGTCTTCAGTGGCATTTGCTATTTCCAGCTTTAGAATTGCATACCATTGTTATTTTAATACTAATACCCTGAAGTGGTTCCTGCTGTATTACACAGAATCTCCAAGAAGGTGTACTTACGGTAGAGTATGAGTATTTAATGGGAAAAATAAAAACTACCTGGATAAATACAGTTATTAGCAAGGTGTTGTTGTTGTTGTTAAGTGCTGTCAAGTCAGTTCGACTCATAGCGACCCTGTATAGGGTTTCCAACAAGCAGCTGATGAGTAAATTCACTTAGCAAGGTAAGTTGTTGTTAAGTGCCATTGAGTCAATTCCAACCCATAGTGACCCTGTATAGGGTTTCTGAGGAGCAGCTGGTGAGCTTGAACTGCTGACCTTGCAGTTCAAACAGCTTTGTAGTCTGGTGCATTAACCCACAGTGCCACACCAGGATTCCTAGCAAGGTATAAGAATGTAATTTTCATGAGTTCTATTATATTCTATAGTTCAAATCATAAAACAGAATCCAGATGTATTATTATACATTAACTATAAAAGTTTGACTATCTTTGTAAGACGGATCAGTCCAGAATTTATATTCTTAGAGATTTTTCAGTCCTTTAATAAGTTGTATTAATATTTGTCATACACTGTGCTAAATCTTAGGATGAGGAAATAATCTTGAGTAATAACCATGGATTTTGCTTTTAGAGAGTGAAGCCTATGATCCTCCACAAATTTAGGATTGTAAATAAGTAATTTTTATTAAATAATCCTAGGTTTTAAGTTCTTATAATACTTGTTGGAGTCCTGGTGTGGCACTGTGGATTAATGCGCCAGACTGCAAAGCCGTTTGAATTTCAGGATTGGCATTTCAAGCTCACCAGTCGCTCCTCAGAAACCCTATATAGGGTCGCTATGGGTTGGAACCGACTCGATGGCACTTAACAACAACAACAACATAATACTTGTTAAGATTTCCTGAGTTCATATTTGACATACACCATTAGAGTTATAAGAAACCTTGGTGTCACAGTGGTCTCTAGTGCATGTGGCAGTCACCTTCCATAAAGTTTACTGGCTTGTAAACTCTGGACAGCTCTACTCTGCCTTAAGAGGGTCATTATGAGTTGACATTGATGCAATAGCGATAAATTAGGTTTATTTTTGTATTGGAGTTATGCAATCTTGAGTAAAGTTTTAGAACTCTTTTCTATAGTTTTGCCTCCTACAAAATGGGACTAGTAAAAGCACATATCTTTTAGAGTATTGAAATGATTAAATGTACTGATACATTTAATATGGTAATTAAAAACTCCTGGTGATATTAATCAATCAATAGTTGTTAGCGATAATGACCATGATCTTGAACATCATCATTGAAGGGTTAAATATCCAGAGGAAGTGTTTTAGAGGATGTAAAACTGTAATTCACTGGGAAATTATTTTTTTCTATTTGCACTTAAACTTTTGACATAGGCGTCAACTAGGTCTCCAAAGTTAAATGAAGATATGTCAGAATGTTAAAAAGGAAAGAAGAAACAATGAGGGAGAGAAAGGAGATAAAGGGAGAAAAGGGAGTAGAGACACACATAGACATACATCATAGAAGCAGGATATACCAAACAGATTGTGTGAAGTGTGAATCTTGATCAGTGGGAATAAATGGCAAAGTTTTCAAAAGCTTTGAGTATTTTCTCAAACCTCACAAAATACCACTTACTGCTTTCCCAATCTGTTCTGTTCAAAAACATTTCTACATGTTAGGAATTCTTTCATCAAAAGTTATACATGTAGCCTGCTAATCATGTCTAAATAAGTTTGATCAAAATGAAAGCATTTGTCTATGCCATGGAAATGAAAGAATTATTTCAAACAATAAGTAGATTTATATTTTTTTAAGGTGAAATGTTTACTTAGTTTACAGGAAAAATTACCTTCATTATCTTTGTTCCCCCCCCCCCACTTGTCAGATTAATATTTGCTTCTATATATTTATGTGTTATCTAGTTAATATTTATTAAAACTGGTGATTTTCCTTGATGGAGAAAGAAAAATATTCTTTTCTGATATGATAATAGATTTATTATTTGAGAACAGATTTTCTACAAAGATCCTTGTATTTGTATGAATTTGAACTGAGTAGATTGTTTTAATAATAATTTCTTGTAACACTGCTTATGAACTGAGAAATCCTTTAGAAAACACAAAATGTAAATAATCTTCTTTACTACTATTTTTGCCTTTCATTTATCTTTCAAAAAATAAGCAGCTTCACTTTTTTTTATTTCCTGAAAGAGCTTTTGTCAGACATGTGACTGTGGTTTTTGTAGCGTAGCACAATGTTTGATTGAATGTCAGAGGAAAATCACCAAGAACAAGTTAGAAGAGCTTGCTTGACAGAGTAATGACATTAACAGTGTCCCTTGTTGGTTTGAGATACATAACTCAGTAATCACTAGGTCCAATCATTATATTTGGCTAAAGCATAATGCATATAGTTGAGTGAGCCAAAATTAAACCATAGTGCATGTAGATTAAAAGAGTGGTAAAGGATTAAATATGCAAATAATTATGTAGCTATCACAGACTGAACATATTTAAAGCCGTTTATAAATGTAGAAAGAACTCTTTTTAAAACAATGCTAAATGAACATTTTGTCCATGAAACACTATCAAAGGGATGAAATTAACTGTTCAGGTTTTCTGTTATGTTTTGAAACTGGTTAAATGGCCTTTCCCACGTAACACAGTAACTTCTCTACCAGTGTATTCTAGAAGGTCCTCTAGCATATAAGACTACCCCTGAGTTTATGTGTAGTAGTCCAGAATCGTGATGTAAAAATATATATGTAAGAAAAAAATGATGGTTCCTTTCTTGATTCTTCCTTTCTTATTACCCTGTTTTAAAAAGAAAAGCCTACACTAAATACATGTATTGTTGTGACTTAATTCAAATTTACTATAGCCAAAAAAGAATACAGCATGTACATTTCATCTTGAAGGCTGCATCTTTTCTGCCTTGCTATTTACATGTAACATTTTACTTTTTCATTTTCCAGCTCTTGTTGTCATGATTGCCCCTGGCCTTCCCAGTAATGCATGTGACTGCAGTTCCTTTCTTCTTGTTGAAATAGTTTGCCTAAGATATTTCCTATTTAAAATTCACATTATAGACATTCCACTTAGTGCTTTCATTTGTTGGTAATATTGCATTGAATGTTTTTCTGCAGAGATGTAAAACTATGAAATAAGAATTTCTTAGGTACAAGTGATAACTCAGTTTTCAATTATACATATATGTATTACTTCAGTTAGTCATGCTTATTCTCTGCTCAATATTTGCATGTTTTCCCAGGTGTACCGCCATTGTTTGATGATGCTCCATGCTTTAAAATTTTACGTTTACTCTACATGTTACCCTTCTTTTTCAGCTTCACTATAGCATATACCAATTTGATAATGTTTGAATATATACATATATATATAGAGATGGACATATGCGTTAAAACTGACACGGACAACACTTGAAAGTAACATATATATTAAAATCAAATGCATGTTTTCTCCATATTATAGGCCAGAAAAAATAGTGAAAGAAAAATTTTCTAAAATGAGTTTGAACAAAAATATAGAGTGAGAAGCTTAATGTCTGCAATGGCTTACAACAACAACTATCACACCAAGCATCCAACTTTAGAATAATAATTTTAAAAAAAAAGCAATTGTGTCATTTTGTTTACAAAGATGAAAACTGTCTCTAAACTTAAAACCATACTTTAAAGTAGTTTTTAAAGCACATAAATTGGTCATGAATCATGACTGAATCTTTTAGATTCATTTAAAAAGTCATGACTATAAAAAGAATAATGGAGACATTGCCATGTTTTGAAAAGTATTTCATGTGGTCAAGTATGTGGGGTTTTTTATGTGACATTGAAGTATAACAAAATGGAAGAATCTTTCAAATAACTATTTTTCAGATCTTGTTTTATGTATTTAGAATAATTACAGACCACCCAATAGGGGCAAACATTGGATAGTTAACAAAATTTAGTAAATGCAATTTAGCAAAAATAAGAGAACAAAAGTGAGAACGTGTAAATGTAATGCTTGTTGTTTTATATATTCCAGATTCAGAACAATTTGTGGGCAGGAAATGCAAGTGGTGGTTCTGTGGTTACTTCATGCATGTTACCACGTGACACTTCCTCCTGTATGACACCTTATTCTCACTCGCCTCGGACAGATTCCAGTTACACAGGGTTTTCAAACCACCAGAACCAGTTCAGCCACGTGCCCCTCAACAATTTTTTCACTGACTCTCTTCTTACTGGGGCCACCAATGGACATGCATTTGAAACAAAGCCAGAATTTGAAAGGAGGTCTTCCAGTATTGCAGTTCTTCGAATGAAAGCCAAGGAGCACACCGCCAATATTTCATGGGCCATGTAACATACTTTTATTTTTTGTTTAATAGCAAAGTAAAACATTCTTATTTCTCATATTTAAAGAACACAACAATAAGCTGCTGTGTGTGGAATTGCTAAAGGTCAAGTTATACAGTGAGAGCAGCTTAAATAAATAGTTATTATTTAACACTAAATTTAAGAACAACCCTCCAAAAAGGCTAAATAGATTTACCATGCACCAGTCTCCACAGACTCTGTTTTAGTATAAGATTTTTTTCTATTGTATGAGTTTATGAAATATGATCATCCAACTTAAAAATAGAATAAATGTATTAAACAAATTCCTCTGTTATAGATTGATTTATGTTAGTTCAGTATAACAAGAAATCTCTTGTAAAATAATATCTGGAAAAGGAGAAAACACTCTGGGGAAAATGCTAAGATACCAGAGCTGGCAGGTATATATTGAAGCAGGGTGTTCTGAGGAGTTAACAGCCCCGTCTTTCTCTCTGACTCAGAGATGCAGTGGGCATATCCCCTTAAAATTGGAGAATTTATCTCCAGACCAAAATGGTGTTTTGACCTCTAGATATTTCACTGAAAAAAAAAGTACTTTTTAAAAGTGATTAGCATACACATGAAGTTTTTGAGCAAAGCTTCCTTAAAGCATGTGACTAAAGGTGATAATTGAAATAGTCTAGTGTGATTGAAAATTATAGGCACAAGAATATTTTTTATATGCCATTTTTTTCTAACAAAAAAATTCCTCAAGAACTGAGACCTAGTTGTTGAGAACAAGGAAAAGGAGAGAAAACCTCTTCTTGCCTTTAAACTATCATTGTGTTGTTGAAACTGTGCACGCAAATATCTAGTAAGTTCACAAAAAGTATCTTTTGTCAGTTAAAAAAGCATCTTTATTGGAAGATATATTTATTATGTGAATATGTGTGTACATACATGTATGAGTGTTCCTTTCTTGACATATTATACTCTTCGCATTTTTGCTACTGTGTGCGTACAGGGAATTAAAATGTCAGAAGGCTCTCTAAAATTTCTGGTGGAAGAGAAGAAAAATACATTGCATCTGGAAAATTGCTAACCCCTTTGATTTACTTCTCCTCCCTTTCCCCTGTCACATTCCAAGCTTTTTCAGATGAGTGAAATGCCATCCTCCTTGAAAGACCCTTAAATTCATAAAGGCAAAATAAATTAATTGAGATGAAGACAACTTCTCTGCCTCCAATCAGAGCAAGATCTGCTCTTTGTACTCTCTCTGAATCTTCTTGTGGTCTTTGGAGTCCTTAGGGATTTGCCTAGAAGTTCTAAAGGCTAAAGGACAAGAGTAAATTATTTTTTGAAAAAAAATTAAGTTTTAGGGGAAAAAAAAAGTATGTAAATCCAGTAAGCATCTTTTCTTAGTGGGAAAATATTTGCAGTAATTAGACATCTTTTGTAATAAAATTTTAAATCAAGCAGATGATGGAGATGAGTGATGTCCTAAACAAACATTCCCTGACTTCTTAATAAACTTTGTTCTTTATAGCTTTTGTGTTCTCTCTTTTCAGTTTTGTTCCCAAGAAAAACTTGCTCAACTTCGGCCCTGAGAATTATGCTTACATGCAGGGGCTTTTGTTCAAGGTTTAGGCAGCTGTTAAATATTCTTCATGTTTTAAAAAGAGTGATTTAAGATATTCATATGTGTGGTCAATATGCATTTGTGTTTTAAAAGTTGGGCCTAAGATTTTAAAAATTTCCCAAAGTTTTCCTGATCTAAATGTTCCCCTTCATCTGTCTATTTGTGGGAGCTTCTGGAATTCAGTATTTTTTCAATTCCAATAGCATTTTTGAAATTTTATTTTATGGAGGTTCTACAGATACAGTACTTTGTATATTTCAGTTAGCACATTTTTGAAACACCTACCACGTGTGAAGTACTATTTGGGATAATAAAATAAATGCATGATGGCACCATGTTTCTTGTTCTCCATAGTTTTCCATCTTTCACTATAAGTATAACCTTAAAAATCTGTTAATACTTATTTCACCCTTTCCCATGGTTCACAGTGTGGGATGCCATTAAGAACTGCAGGAATAAGGTATCTATTATATGTTCATATCCCAACTTTTTTATTGGCTGAAAACTGAATTATGTATTTGAAATATGAAAATGCAATAAAACATACTTTTAATAGAATAAGATAAACCTAAATCAAAGAGTGCATAAAATGCACTTCTAATTTTTTTGTTTGCTCTGTCTAAACTTGGGGTAAAATAAGTTTCATGTACTGTAATTAATCTCCCTTACAAATGCATTGACTTTATATACTTGTGAGAAAATCTAAGGGATATTCCATTTACTTTTATTGGGGTGCCTTTTATTGGGTATTTTGTTTCATTAAGTAGTTTTGTTCATTTGAATATTGACTGTCATCCTGAATTGCTCATTCCATACATTTTGCTCGTGCATAGATGCTTCAAGAGATGATGCTGGTATTTTTTTCCTGAGAAATGTAGTTATGTTGGGAGCTCATACTAAGAGATACATTTATGTGAGAATTAAGTTTGTAGTTTCTTTATGAAGCATAAAATGAAATGTCAGAAAACAGTTTATGGATTTATGAAGGTATACCATTTATCTTTTTTAGTAGATATTGAATAGTTGTTGTTTTCTTTGTTAAGTAACTTCTGAAAGTACAAAAAGAAGTCCACTGTAATCTTTGCCTCTGACATGAAAACATACCTCAAAAGAATAAGAGTTACTTAACCTATATAACTTTGAGGAAACTCATGAAATTGTGTATATAAATTATGTTATTATTGTTTCATGGTCCATTCCTACTGTTGAGTTTTACCTTCAAAAGAAGATAGAGTTCTTACTTAATAGAATTCTTACAAAGATAAAAATGTTATAGATTCATTTTTAAACCTTTCGTATCTCACTGGGTGCTAATTTGACTTCAATAGTATAATTTCATATATTACATTATTTTTATGTAAATGAAAACAATATTGTCTGCTTTCATAAAGATACACAGTCTTGAAAACTCTGTGGGGAAGTTCTAGTTTGTTCTCTAGGGTCACTGTGAGTCAGAATTAACAGCAGTGAATTTCGTGGGTTTTAGGTTTATCAGCTCCATATGATAAGTACTGGACTGTGAAGTACAAGGTCCGCAGTTGGAGCATGTCAGCCACTCCACAGGAGGAAAATGAAGCTTTCTGTTCCTACAGAGATTAAAAACTTCGGAAACCCTATACAGGATCACTGAGTCAGAACTGACTCGATGGCACTTAACAACAACAAATAATAATGCCTTAAGTAAAACAAGAATAGACAGGTCCAATTACAGTTTTCGGAAGTGGTCTGATTAAATATTTTTTAAAACCTTAGTAATCCTGAATTTTGACTATAATTTAATTTAAACAATACTATGTATAATCATTAAATTAGGTATAACTTTTATTAGAATAATTATATGGCCAAATATTTTAGGAGAAATAAATTATCTTTAAAAACCTAAATTCTGATTTGCATGTAATAATATATCTGTATTATTTTAAATGCTGTTGTTAAAGCCGTTCAGTTTGTTCTGACTCAGTGGTCTTGTATAGGGTTTCTGAGGCTGTAATTTAAAATGTTGTTGTTGTTAAGTGCTATTGAGTCCGTTCCAACTCATAGTAACCCTGCATAGGATTTCCAAGGAGTGGCTGGTGAATTTGAACCAACAGCCTTGTGGTTCAAACAGACCCTTGGGGTGTCCAGTGCATTATCGCATAGTGCCACACCAGGACTAATCTCATCTCTAAGAAAGTAGACATTTAAAGTCCCTCTAGACATTATTTCCATGTAGCTTATTAATGTTTTGCATTGAATAGAGCATACATTTTTCATTAAGGGGATTTTTTTTTTTTTTTATAATACCCTGTACAGCGTCAGTATGAGTTGGAACCAACTCCATGGTACTTAACAACAACATATTATATAGTATTTTGTCTTAAGCCTATAAGACAAATTTTATACAAACCAGGCAGTCACTAATAACCCAAATGACAACAAAATCGGTAGTAAAGTCTAGCACTATGCTCAACATATATGGCACAAAACCTCAAAAGCTGAATCATTCCAATATTAGATTCATAGGATATTTTTTGTTGTTAAGTGCCATCAAGTTGGTTCTGACTCATAGAGACCCTGTACAGGGTTTCTGAGGAGCAGCTGGTGAGTTTAAACTGCCGACTTTGCGGTTCAAACTAACTTTGTTGCCCAGTGCTTTATCCTACAGCACCACACCAGGATTATTGTTCTTAAATGCCATTGAGTCCATTCTAACCCCTAGCAAACCTGTGTAGAGATTCTGAGAAGCAGCTGGTGAGCTCAAACTGACTATGTAGTCCAGTGCATTAACCCACAGCACCACACCAGGACTGCTACCAGAACTATAAACATTCCCGTCTTTTATCCTCTTAATAAAAATGGTAGAAAAGAATTTAAGTTTGGGGCTGGCTAATTCTCCATTTTTACTGAATAGAATAATAGAGTTGAATAAAGCTTTATGTTCATTTCTCCATAGACTTAAAATTGTACATATTCTAAGTCCAAAGGGCAAACAAATGATTCTGTTTGTGTGTTTCTTCATGGCACTATGTTATTGCATGTCTTTGGCTATAGAATAAGAGACAGTGCATGTCTTTTCATAGATTTTTACATTACTTATATTTATAAAATTTATCTAACTTAGCGTAGTGGTTACGCATCGGGCTGCGAATTGCAAGGTCGCAGTTCGAAATTACCAGCTGCTCCGCAGGAGAAAGATGAGACTTTCTGCTCCTGTAAAGATTAACAGCCTTGGAAACCCTGTTCAGGGTTGCTATGGGTCAGAACCGACTCGATGGCACTTAACAACAAAAACAAAAACTGATTTTATTTTAAGGAATTAAAAAACAAACACCACAACAATGACTGGTTGGAGTAGTAGTGAAAAGGATGACCCCTACAGGCTATTTGCATAGTTCAGTTATAAAGCACGACAATATTCAAATGCTCAAAATATGCTTATTCCAACCAAGAGAGGGTTCTTAACTTACTGTCAGGTTGATAGGAAAAGGTATATGTGTGGATACAATTCAGAGTTTTTATTAGTGGAAAAGGAAAAACACTGGATCTTTATTTTTACTAACCTCCAGAAAGAAATATATTCATAAACAGACATCAGTAGTAACAGTGGTACCTGTGACTTTGTCATCAATAGGACAAAAGGATATTTTCATATTACATTCATTGTAAATCTTGGCAGAATCAAACTGCCACATCTTGCTCCTGCAGAGCGGTTGTTGGGTACAAACC